TTGTGCTTGGAATTGCCCTGACCCATGTACTGGACCTTGCACTTGCCCTTGGGAGAGAGAGGAGCTCTAAGAGCACTCCACAGGGGCTTTAACTGTGGGGTTTTTCTCTTCATTTTTCTAGGATGAAGAGGAGGACATCACTTCATTTGTTCTGAGCCCCAATGATGAGGTGTGTGTTTGCTTTGCTGTTTTCTCTGCTGCTAACCCCCCTGAGCCCTGAAGGCTGCTCCACCTGGAAGCACCCTGTGTTTCCAGAGATCTCTGAGAGGGCTCCTCAGGAGTTTCCTTCTGTCTGCCCTTTGGGGTTTGAGTCAGAGAAATGCTGGGAGCCTGAGCTCCAGGAGTGTCACAGCAACTGGTAGTGATGTGCTTTGTGGGGGCCAGGACAGAAATTTTCCTTTTGCAAGCAAAAACTGGATTGTTTAGTCAGGAGAAAAGGAAGCAGAGGAGAGGAGACCTCCTGGATGTTGACAGCTCCCTAAGAGGAGGCTGGAGTGAGGTGGGGGTTGGGCTCTTTTTCCAGGCAGCCAGCGACAGGATGAGAGGCAAGGGGCTGAAGTTGCACCAGGGGGAGGTTTCAATTTGACATTGAAGAATTTCTCTCCTGGCAGCGTGGTGAGGCCTTGGCCCAGGCTGCCCAGGGAGGAGAGGGGGGAGTCTCCAGCCCTGGAGGGGCGCAGACAACGTGGTGCTGAGGGACACGATTTAGAGGTTAGGGTGGTGCTGGGTTGATGGTTGGACTGGATGATCCTGGGGTTGTTTTCCAGCCTCCCTGCCCCTCTGTCTCTGTGCACAGATGCTGGTGACGGGGAGCAGAGCCCTGCTGCTGAAGCAGTGGAGCTGGCAGGAGAAGAAGTGTGCCCGCACGTGGAGGGCCGTGCACGTGGCGCCCGTCGCCAGCATGGCCTTTGATGCCACCTCAACCCTCCTGGCCACAGGTACAGCCTGTCCCCCAGCCCTGGCAGCCACACTGAGCCCCTCTCCTGCCTCAGGGTCACTCAGCCTGAGGGGGTGTTCCCCTCAGTCCAGGCAAAATCAGAAGTTTTTACTCAGAAATGTCTTGAGGGACAAGGATGTCATGTCTCAAATATGCTTTGTAAAAGAGGGATAAATACAAAATCAGAAGTTTTTACTCAGAAATGATGTCTTGAGGGACAAGGAGGGATCCTTTCAATGTCGTGTCTCAAACATGCTTTGTAAAAGAGGGATAAATATTTCACAAAGTGAAAATGGGGCATCTGTGAGGTGGTGCCACGTGGTTATCCCGGGGTAGAACAGGGACTCCACGAGTTGGAGGAGGTTGGACATAACCTGTAACTTAATTGTACCTCAGGTTTGACTGTCAGCAGTCCAATTTTGCCCAGCTCTCAGTGTGTCAGGTGCTCTGTGAGCTTCTCTTGGTGGGGCTGGTCCTTACTGGGTTCGTTTTTCTTTCTGCTGCCGTTGCAACCTGTGGAATTTCACAGTTGTTGGACTTTCCCTGTCTCTCTTTCTTAGTCTATTCTCCTGTGTCCTTTTCCCAGGTGGCTGTGACAGCACCATTAAGATCTGGGACATGGTCAAGCAGTACTGCACACACAACCTCAAGGGATCCTCTGGAGTCGTGCAGTAAGGACGAGTGGCTTTTGTTGGTTGCTGCTCTGTGGTGCTGGGACACTGGGCTTGATGTGAAATGGCCTTGAGTTCATGGAATCTGAAAGCCCATTCTGGGCTCTTTTGCTTCCTGATTTTGGAGGTGTCTGATGCAGGGGCAGGGCTAAGACTGATTTTAGCCCAGAGAAGAAATTATTTGATTAAGGAATTTAAATCTGTTGAGCGACCAAACTCTGTGTAGAATTTACTTTTATTTAAACACTGGGATAACACCAGTGTGCCAGATAGCTTGGATGGGACAGGAATAAACTCTTTTCCTTCTGCCTAGCCTCGTGGAGTTCCACCCTGACCCCTCCTGCCTGCAGCTCTTCTCCTCCTCCATGGACTACAGGGTGCGCGTGTGGGACCTGGGCTCTGGCCGCTGCCTGGCTGCCCTGGAGGGACACTTCAGTGCTGTCACCTCCCTGGCCTTCACAGACACACACACACTCCTCAGGTCAGGCTTCACCCCACCAGAGCCTGGCTGTGTCCGTGGGCTCTGGGAGGGGTCTGGGAGGAGGAGGAGGGTGGCTACAAGGGATCAGTCTCTGCTGGCCCCTACAAGGGAGTCACTGAGCATGCTGGCAGCTGAGTCTCTGCTGCCAGGTGGGAGGATGGTGTTTGCTTTCACACAGGCCTCTTCAGGGAGGTGTTGAACCCAAATTTGCCCTCAGAGCCTGAGTGGAATGGATTTAGTGGTGAAACTGCTCTTTTAACTTACAGTTCTGGCCGTGATAAAATCTGCATGGTGTGGGACCTGAAAACTGGAGAGAGTAAACGAACCGTCCCTGTCTATGAGGTGAAGTTGCATTTCACTCCTCTCTTTGAGATCCTTTATGGTTTTTAGGTCACAGTCCTAAAGTTCCCCTCCCTCCTTAGGTCCATATAGCTTGTGAAATCAAGTTTCTCTTCTTTACACTTTTCCAAAGGCCTTTAAAACTCTGTCTGAAGCTGTTTTCTTTCTCTCCTTGCCAGTTGTGGTGATGTCTGGGCAGTTTAAAGAAATACTTGCCACCTCTGGCTGCACTGCCCCAGTGCTGGAGGGGGAAGGAGGGGCAGTCCTGTGAAAAAATATCCCCTTGTTGTCCCCTTGTGTCCCCTCCAGTGTTTGGTGCCTCTGGTGCCACTCTGGGCACTGGAGTTGGAGTTGGGTCCCTGCCCCCTGCTGGTGTTTGACCAGTTCTCTTGCAGAGCGTGGAAGCTGCTGTCTTGTTACCTGAAAAGGGAGATTTCTCTCAGCTGGGTGTGAAGAAACAAGGGCTGCACTTCATCACAGCTGGCAGCAAAGGTGAGAGTCCCAGCGTGGCACTGCCAGCTCTGGAGGCTGAGGGAGGGGTGTGCTGAGACGCCACCTTCCCCTCACTCGCTGTCCCTGGGATGTGCTGGGCTGAATTCCTGAGGGTGGGAGAGCCAGAGCCTCCTCCTGTGCCCCCGGGGCAGCAGTGGGTGAGCAGGACTGAGCAGACTGTGGATGGTTTTGAACTGAAGAACAAAATCTTGGTGGCCCTTCGTGCCCCTGCGCTCGGATCTCCTCACGGTCCTGCCTCAGAGCTGCGTGGGCTTTGCCAGCAGGCAAGGCCAGGGTTGGGTTTAGAGTCTTTCTTCTAAACCAGTGGCTCTGACAGATACTTGGTCTCATTTTTTTAGGCATCCTGAAGGTTTGGGAGGTTGCCACTGCTGCTTGTGTGTACAGCCAGCCCGTGCCCTTCGCGCTGCAGGAGGAGGCCAGCGAGCGCAGCCTCACCCAGTGCCTGCTCCTCCCCCAGAGGAATGAGATTGTCACAGTGTCTGTGGAGCACAACATCGTTCTGTATGATGCCCAAACCCTTCAGCTCAAGAAGCAGGTGACAATCTGCAGCCTCCTTTTTCCTGTGTCCATAGCTGAGGCTCAGCTCTGCTGCTGGAGGAAGCTTTGTCCAGGGGTGCCCTCTCCTCCTGCTGTGCTTGAGCTGTTCCTTGCTTCCAAGCCATGAAGCCAATTGTACTGGGGGGGGGTTGTTGGGAGGAGTGTTGCACAGGGACAAACGTAGTCACAGGAGAGCAGAAGAAGCCAAAAATCCCTGCTCCACGTGCTAATGTGTACAAAAATGATTTTTAGGTGCAGCATTTAATGAGAGATGAGAGTAGTGCAGCCTCACTGAGCATGGTGCCATTCACTCCTCTCACCAGCTGACTTCTCCCTGTTGCTGTTTTCCCATCCTCAGCTTGCAGGTTACAATGATGAGGTTCTGGATGTGAAGTTCCTGGGGCCTGGTGATTCTCACATCGTTGTGGCTACCAACAGCCCTCAGCTGAAGGTGTTTGAGCTGGCAACATCTCACTGCCAGATCCTCTATGGCCACACAGGTGAGGGAGTGGCCAGCTCTGGCCTGGGGAGGTGGGTGAGCATTTCTTCATCAAGCTTCTCTCACAACTCTTATGTGGACACTGGAATCCTCTCTGGAACAGCATCACCACAGCTTTTGGAGCTGTGTGGAGAACATGCTGGCCTGGTTTTGCAAACACTTTGTCCAGGGCTCTCAGCTCAGTCCCATTCGCTTGCAGTGAGATGAGTTTAACTTGGAGCTGGTGGAGGTGTGTGAGTGTGAGCTCTGAAGGCAGCTCTGTGGCTGTGTCAGACTTGCACCAACACCATTATAACCTGGTCACTCCACGTTGAGTGTGGATATGGTGTGTCCCAGACCTGTGCCATGGTCAGGAAGCTGTGGACTCTTTAATTCATCCATTCCTGTTGTCCCAATTTCAGTATGTCTTTGCATCCAGCTGTTTTTTCTTCTGTTTAGAAACAGTTCTTGCTTTGGATGTCTTCAGGAAAGGCCTGATGTTCGTCAGCTGTGCCAAGGTGTGTTAGTTTTCTTCATTTAATGAAACTCTTCATTTCTGGGAAATCTTTATGGCCAGAGCTGTTGCATTCCTCTTGGAATTTTTGTTGAACTTTTGTTCAGGTGGAATTCCAGTCGGCTGCATCTCCCAAATACAAATTTCTTCCACTATCCCTTTATAATATCCCCAGGGAAGTGGGATTGATTGTATTTTATTAACTTGAAAGGAGGTGTCTCATTCTGCAGTGTCTTGCTCTTGCATTAGAGTTCAGAGGTGTCATTAGAGACTGTGGTGGGGAGCTGTGTGGGGGGGAAAAAGGTGCTGACTACCCCACTACCCCAGAAATGAACTTCCAGGCTGGAATCCTGGACTGCTGTGTGTGCCCTGGTGGGTGCAGGCAAAGGTCCAAGCTTGGCAATGAGTGACTAGTCAGGCTGGTGGCTCTGCTGAGCACCTGGGGAGCTGATCTCTTGTCAAAACCCCACCGTGGTGTCTGTCCTCTCCCATCACAGGACAAAAGCCTCCGAGTCTGGCGGATGAACAAGGAGGGGAGGGTGACCTGTGTTGCCCAAGGGCTGGGTCATGCACATGGTGTAGGTGCTGTCTCTTGCTCAAGGTAATGAAAATCAGACAAAGGGTTCCCTCTGCAAGTGTGAGTGGCTGCATTGCTGATCCTTGGGGTGAATGTTTTGAGGGACAGAAGCATAGAGTTGTTTTGGTTAGAAGAGAACTTGAAGATCAAATCCATCTGTTCCCCCAGCACTGCCAGGTCCCCACTGCCCCGTGTCCCTCACCCCACATCTCCACAGCTTGGAAACCCCTCCAGGGGTGGGGACTCCACCACTGCCCTGGGCAGCCTGGCACAGCCCTGGGCAACCCTCAAGGGCAAGAAATTGTTCCTCAGCTCCAACCTCAACCTCCCCTGGGGCAACCTGAGACTTTTCTCTTGTCCTGTCACTTGCTCTTTGGGAGAAGAGACTGACCAGGCTCCAACCACCTTCCAGGGGGTACCTGCTCCTGAGCTGTGCTGTTCCTCACTCTTGGTCCCAGCTTGCCATGGTGCTCTGAGTTTGAAGGAAGGGTGATTTTTATCTGGGTACACATCTGTCTGTCCCTAAGTTGTGACATTGGCCTTTCTTTGTCTGTCTCACTCCCCTTGGCCTGAATGAGCAGCAGATGGAGAAGTTGCCAGGTAGAGGTTGGGTGATGAGGAGGGTTGGGCAGTGAAGGGCACGTGTCTGTGAAGGGGCTGGTTTGGGCAGTGTGTCTGTTTATCCAGCTTGAAAACCATTAAAGCACTTTGCCACATCCCAGCAGAGTGATGTGTACATCCTGGTAAGGGAGGAGAAGGCTCTTTCTGAGCAGGGGAAGCCCCTGCTTAATTTCCTTTCCCTTGACATCTTGACTCCCTCCAGACTGAAAGAAAGCTTCATAGTAACCAGCAGCCAAGACTGCACGATCAAGATCTGGAACATCCCTGACACCCTCACTTCCAAAGCAAAAGCAGCCTTGATCTCCAGTCCTGAAACCCTTCATGCAAGAGTGACTGAGAGGGGTCATAACAAGGTAAAGCTGCTCCTGGTGTTAGCACATGCTTCTAGTCCTTCAGTCTCTCTCCTGGGTCATACCCTACACGTATGACCTGACAGCAAAGACTTTGCACTCCCCCTCCTCCTGTGACCTCTCCAGGACGTGAACAGCGTGGCAGTGTCTCCAAATGACAAGCTGATAGCCACGGGCTCACAGGACAGGCTGGCCAAGCTCTGGTCCTCTGCTGAGTGCTCTTTGCTGGGCGTCTTCACTGGCCACAAGCGTGGAATCTGGTGTGTGCAGTTCTCCCCTGTGGATCAGGTCCTGGCCACCTCGTCAGCAGATGGGACCCTGAAGCTTTGGGGTCTTCGGGACTTCAGCTGCCTGAAGGTAATGAACTTGGGACAGCCCCAGGGGTGGAGGCCACTGATTGGAACTTAACCTGTTTGGGCTTTGGGAATAAATATTCTCCCCTTGAACAGCCAGGGCAACAAACTCCAATGCTTTGATCTTCCTCTCTGTTCTCCAGACCTTTGAAGGTCACGATGCCTCTGTGCTGAAGATCATTTTTGTGAGCCGAGGAACACAACTGCTCAGCAGGTAAGTGCCTACACCAGGAGCCCAAAACTGGTCAGCAGAGAAATCTCTTGGCTGGTACCAGCAGTGGGAGGGGAGAGTCCTGGGCAATGGATTTAGTTTGGGAAAGACTGGCAGGATGATGCCAGGTTTGTGCCCAGCTTTCTGCAGGGCCTGATGTATCTTCCTCTTCTCCAGCTGCCCTGTTAACTCTGCTGCTCTGAAAAGCATTGGAATGGGATGAGTTGATCTGATGCTTGGGGTGAGGCAGAGCGAGAATGGATGTGTCTGGTGATTCTTTTTTCTCTTCCAAAAGTGGCTCTGATGGTCTCCTGAAACTCTGGACAATTAAAACAAACGAGTGCGTGAAGACGTTAGATGGTCACGAAGATAAAATTTGGGGTCTTCACTCTAACAAGCAGGATGACATGGTTGTGACAGCATCCAGTGACTCCTGCATCACGCTGTGGAAGGTACAGAGCAGGGTCTTTGTGTCTCCTCTCTGGGTTGGTGTCGATGCATTTGGAGAGCTGAGGATCCCAGTGCTTGTTCCTCACTGTTCCAGTGTGACACGTGCTGCTCTTCTTTCCTGCACTGGGAAACTGGGTCAGTAAGGTGGATCCTGGGGGCCTGGGGAGGTTTTTGGATATCCTGGTTTTCCCCAGTTGATGTTGGAGAAGAAACAGCAGATGGGCCTTAGCAGCCTGCCCAGGGCTGGGCTTCCAAAGGTGGTTTGGAGGGAAAGTGTGAGTTGCTGGATTTAGCACTTAAATTACTTGACCTAGAGATCTTGCTGCAGAAACTGTTTTCCTGATCACTGGACAGCAAAATAAAAATTAATCCATATTAAAGCAAGACCTGATGAAGTTGTATTCTTTTTTTTTTAATAGGATGTCACTGAAATTGAAGAGAAAGAGGCACAAGCTAAACAGGAGGAGCAGATCATCAAGTAAGTTGACCTTGTGCAGCGATGACCTGTCTGGTGGAGCCATCCACACCTAGAGCCATCTATACTTTATGTATATTGGTTTTTTTCCACCAACCAAATACTTCTTACTCTCTCTATCTGGATTTGTTTTCCAGAGAACAAGAGCTTTCTAACCTGCTTCACGAGAAGAGATACCTCAAAGCTTTGGGCTTGGCAATCTCTCTGGATCGCCCGCACACGGTGTTGATGGTGGTCAAAGGTGAGTTCCTCTTGGGCTCTGAAGGTGATTTTCTGCCCTCTCTGCCTTCCAGGACATCTCTTCCAGGTGGACCAGGACCACAGAGTCACCCAAAAGCCTCAGGTTTCCCCACCACCCCAGATAAGAAATGATCACTCCAATGATGACACAGATGAGCCCATTTCTCTCTCCTGCAGCCATCCTCAAGGAGACTGATGGGAGGAAGCACTTGGAGGAGAACATCCTTCGGCTCCGGAAGGATCAGAAAGGTTTGTTGCAATGTGGTTTAAGTGCTAAAACTTTTCAGCTTAGGCATTTGTGTTCTCAACTGAAATGAAAAGAGGAATCCCACAGGATCCCAGTATGGTGGGGTTGGAAGGGACCTCTGGAGATCTGGAGATCATCTGGTCCAACCCTCCTGCTCCAGCAGGGTGCCCAGGATGGTGCCCAGGCAGGTTTGGTTTCTCTCCAGAGCAGCCCAGGCGAGGAGCCTCCCCAGCCTCTCTGGGCAGCTGCTCCAGGCTCTGCACCCTCACAGGAAATAATTTTCTCCTCCTGTTGAGATGGAACCTCCTGGGTTCCAGTTGGTGCCCGTTGCCCCTTGTCCTGTCCCTGGGCACCACTGAGCAGAGTCTGGCCCCAGCCTCTTGACACTGGATCTTGATCCTCCCTAGACTCAGTGTTCATCACTGAGCTCCCACCACTCTGAGGCAGGATGGGTGCCCAGGGCCAGCTGCTGTGTTATGGTGCTGTTCCTGGTGCCACCAGCAGCTGCTCTGAGCTCTGTGAGTGCCTTTGCCTGGCCTTGTCACCCTCTTGGTTAGGACATCCCTGTGTTAGTTCCAGAAACAGTTCTGAGCTTGTGGCTTGTTGGGCACGGTGTGCAGCAGAGCTGCTCTGTAGGACAGGAGATGTTTTCTGACCTGGCAGCTCCTGCGTGCCCGTGGCACAAGCAGGGTGCCCAGATCTCCCCCCTCCCCAGAGGCAGTGCTGACCTTCCTGGTGACCTGGAACACGAACTCTCGGAACTGCCACGAGGCCCAGGCTGTCATTGAGACCCTCCTGAAGCACGAAGCACCAGAGAGCCTCCTGCAGTACTCGGGCATTAAACCTGCCGTGGAGTCCCTGCTGCCTTACACTGGTGAGTGACAGAGCTGTGAGCACGAGGGCTCCTGTGCTGGAGTGTTCCCTCCTTGCCTTGCTCTAAGGACAGAGATTTCTGCACCTCGTTCTGGTGAGCTTGCTCTCCTGTGATGCAAACCATGGTAATGCCACCCAGAGGGACCTGAGCAGCTTGGAGCAGTGGGCCCATGTGAACCTCATGAGGT